TCAGAGGCCAACACAAGGTGCAGCTGAAGAGCTAAACACAAGCCCCTGCTACCCTCTCATTGTAACCACTGGGGGAGAGGAGCGCTGATGAACTGCAGGGTGCAGAAGCTGGTGCACTCAAGCACTGAGCTACTTCTGTTTGCGGCTCATGGGAGCCATGTGTGCAAACATCAGTGTGGTGCATTTGATTAAAAATGTGCAAATTTATCAAGAAATAAAGTGCATGCCTCAGGCTCCTGGCAAACTGCTAAGGCAGCCATTGGGACTGCCAATGCAGGACTTCACTTCAATGTTTTTAATCCTCAGGACTCCAAGGGCAAGGACATCTATCCAGAGAAAATAGGGCCAAGCATTCTGGGTACCCTAGATTCTCCCTTCCCCCCACCACCACCTTACCAACTCCCAGGATATTTGGTGGTTTTATTTATAAATAAATTTGATGCTGGAATAAAGAGACTGCATGAGAATCTCCACTTTCACTTTAAAAAGTTTCTAGCCCTCATGGTTGCACAGAAAAGTTTAGAAACATGAAGCAGATGTACCCAAAAAGCTTAGAAATCAGAAGGAAAAGCAAAAGAACTCCAAAAATCATTCTTAGGAACTTAACTCATGCTTTTGAAGTCGGCAACAATGCAAAAGTGACCTGTATCTCTTGCCAGTAGTCCCACCCATGAGTCCTCTCATGCTTTGACTGTTCCTGTTTGAAGAAGTCACACCACAACTTCAATAGGCAGCCTACCTCACCACCTGCTCACTGAAGACATCCTCCTCTGTAGAATGGAGCCTCGGGTAAAGATGCAGCTCTCACTGAGGGGTGAGACAGTTCAGACTTCCCCAAGTCACTAATAAGGCATGGCTCGGTAACTTCCTTCCAGCAGTCTGATCAAGTATTCAGCTTTCACTCTCGTGCAGCCCAGATGGCTGGAGTTGAGGGTGCCAGCTACATCTTGACAAGTGAATGGTATTCTCTTGGTCTTTCCATGTGATTTTGTCCCTACTATCCGACAGTCTGATTAGGGATTGGCTGTCCGAGTCACAAATCTGACAGAAATGCCAAAGTCACAAAGACAAGAGGGGCTAAGTCCTAACAAAGCTATTTGAAACTAAGCAGAATGTGAGAGTGTAGCTAGAGTCGCAGAACTAAGGCAACATATTACACCATGGCTTAAATGAAATCTGGGATGCAATGGATTTAGAGGGCTCTGAACCCATGTAGTTCTCCTTCACACATCACCTGCGAGGGCTTTAAAGCAATTCACTGCTACTCCACAAAATGCTTTCAACAGTCAAACAACTCATATTTTTAATACAAATGTAACCTGTCCTTCTTGTTCCTTAAGATGCAAATACTATCCCTCCACAAGGATCAGCCAGAAGTCCCTTTCAAGTGTGGAAACTGTTTACAGTACAAGTCTGTCCTTCCATTTCTAATTCCAGGACCAAACGTGCATTCCTTACTCACTAGTGTAGTCCCACTGATTCCAGTGGCATGCAACTCATGTGGAGTAAGGAAAGCAGGAACCTTCATCCTCAGCTGCTCTTTTGGGACAAACCACCAAATTCTCAAAGTGCTTTTGCGACTGCTGACACCAGGGATTGAACGAGAGACGTCCAGAGTTGAAAGAATGAGTTGCTTCAGCTGAAGCGGCAGGCTTTGTAGGAAGGGCCATACACTAACATCCTCTGTGGATGGAGCTGAGCACTGGCTTACACACTTCCCCTGGACAGAGAAAGCTTGTCCCAAATGTTTCAGGTCCACAGTAGTTTGGATCAATTCTCTAGAGGACAGCTGTTCTTAACAGAATGAGAAGTCAAATTGAGATTTAATATTTTACACCCAACCCCCACCTCTTTGGCCTCAGCACTCTACAAGGTGGCATGTGGTATTGATTAATGAATAGATCCTCACTGCTTGAGGACCTTCCATGCATTGAAGTGAGGGAAACTTCCCCTTTAATCTGTGTAAGAAATAAAAATAAGTAAAAGTCTAACTTTTGGTTTGGATACCAAAAAGCTCTGAACCACATTCCAGAAACTGAACTATCACCACCTTTATTGGTAACATAACTCACTGACAAGGCAAAGATCATCAGGGTCTTTTTCTGTGTGGGTAAATAAATCTGGGTCCTATCCAAAGAGAGATCTATTCTATCACATCATCTTCCACTGTGTTGAGGGCACACACAAATACATGCAAGTTTCTGTGCATCCAGAATTTATAGGCCAATAAACACCAGTATTTACACTGATTTGTTAAATAAACAGCCTTCAGTAGTGAGTGCTTTTATGAGCTATTAAAAGCAACCCATGAATGAAAATTGCCTACACAAAAATAGAACTCTCAATCCCCAAAGAACAGTCCATTCAATGAAGGAGCTATATAGTGGATACCTGAAGTCAAATTGGCTTTATCAGAACAAAAGCAAATCCCAGAGCAGATGGCCTCAATTTCACCCCAACATTCTGCCTCCAGTCCTCTAGAGTTAAAAATCTCAGGGCCATTAGCTGCCATTTCCTTGCTTCTCTTTGCTACAAGAATGGTACCTGATAGTTCTTAAACGGAAGATACCATCATCCCCACCACTTAGGTTTTTATATGGTGAATTAAAATCAGCACCTTGAATTACCCCTAGAAACAAATGTTTGTGAAATATTGCAGAGTCCTATTGAACATACTTCCCTCTTCACAGACATGCAAATCCATCAGTGCTCAGTAAGCAGCACCAGTTTCCACTTTGCCATACAAACTAGTTTAATGCCATAGAAATCTTACTAAAGCCACTATCCTCATAAGAATCTGGAGAGTCTGTTGCACACTGAAATACTTCAGCAAGAATTCAGTTTAGTGTTTGTATGAAAAAGGAAACTTTTAAATTGGAACAAGGACTTTTACTGCATAAGAGTCACCATAGCGCAGAACAACCAGAATAAAAAGAATCCCATTTGTATGGCTCTTTATGGATGATTCAGGTAACAGATTATATACACACCTGTTATGCTCACAAGAGCAATTTCAAATAGTCTCTCTCCATGGCATTTACACATCCAAGTTCTCCTTTGAGGCCACAAGGTGGAGCCAGCTTTTTTCAGGAACTGTAGACTAGAGTGTAGACTAGAGTGTTTCCTACAGTACCACAGAAATAAACAGCACTTTGCATGCAGGAAAAATAATCACACAACAGAATACAATGTTAAAGTTGGGACAGAATACAGTACAAATAGGAAGGCTGGGGCCAGGATAAGTGGAAGATACAACAGGGCATATGAAGTGTTCATAAGGTTTTGCTCTGTTGTGCCTAGCTTACAGAAGACATTCCTAAATGTGAAGGGAGGTAGATGTATAGTAGAGATTTCTGCTATCTACTTTGTGTACAGATTAGAACTTTAAATGACTCAAACCCACATACTGTATACACAGCTGGTCTATGTAGCTGGGTGTTTCTGTTCCCACTATCCATCCTCCCTCGTTTCCTCCAATTGTTTGACACTCAGTCAGAAATGTAAGGCTGGAAGGGATCTTGAGAAGTCATCAAGTTCAGCCCCCTGTGCAGTGGCAGGACCAAGAAAACCTAGAGCATCCCTGACAGGTGTCTGTCCAACCTATTCTTAAAAACTTTCAATGACAGGGATTCCACAACCTCCCTGGGAATCCTATTCCAAAGCTTAACTGTCCTTACAGTTACAAAGTTTGTCTTAACATCTAACCCAAGAGTCTCCCTTGCTGCAGACTCAGCATATTACTTTTTGTCCTACCTTCAGTGGACACAGAGAACAACTGATCACCATCCTCTTTATAACAGCCCTTAGCATATCTGAAGACTTGTCAGGTCCTCAGTCTTCTTTTATGAAGACTGAACGTGTCCCGTTTCTTTTAACCTTCCATCATCTGTCAGGTTTTCTAAACCTTTTTTATTATTTTTGCTGTTGTCCTCAGGACTGTTCAACCCTGTCCACATCTTTCCTAACGTGAATCCAAAATTGGACACAGTCGCATCTCGTCTTGGCTTGTAAACTCTAGAATTACACCACGTGTCTGGACAGTACCTAGGGCAACAGGGCCTTGGTCCTGGCTGAGGCTCTGGACACCATTGCAATGCTAATACCAGGTTCCCCTCTCACTCCCTCCTGAAGGCCTCTCATATTCCGATTGTCACATCTATACTGCTAGGTCAACAGACGTTTTTCTTCAATTAAGGATGACATTTGTTTAATCCACTAGGAAAAAGCCACTTTGCAGACCAGACAAGACTCTGAGCAAAGCTCAGATAAATAGGCTGTGTGCTAGTGAAATCCACAGGGACTGGAATCCAACCCATGAGGAAAGCAGAGCTGCTTTATGGCCACTACTGCAGTGTCACAACTGTGGTAGCCTCTGTGGTTAGTGTGCTGCCCTGCTGCTCCCCAGGGAATCTGCTATCCAGTCCCACCATCGGGACCCCCTCCAGTGCCTGCTCTAGTATCTAGGAAGTCCTCATCCCCAGCATTAACAAAAGCCCAAACAGGAGATTAATTTAAATTTCTCTGCAAGGGGCAGAGTTTGGAATGAAACCTCATCCCCTCCTGACTCTCCAACCCATGCCCTATGTTGTCTTCATCAATAGCTTTTTAAACTGTTCAGCTGGTCTTTGCAGTACTTTGGCCAAAGACCCACATTACAGCCCTTCGGTCAACAAATGGCACCCACAGTTTTTGAGGCCCTGTACTTCAGGATAGACTCAAGAGGATTCTTGGAAGACCAGAGAGGAATGTCTCCACAAGTTCCTATTGTGCCACTAGTTTACTTAATCAACAGTTGCTTTTAGCCAGGTTACTATGGGAAAAAATGGTCTTGAAAGACTCTAGCCTAGGGCAAGCTAACCAGATTGATAATTGTGGGATAAGTGTTTGCCAAGATAACTGTAAACACAGTTACATAGTTCTGTGACCTTATGGTCCAATAAGGATGAGTGAAGGCAGTATACTAATACAAATAACCATCAAAACAAGCACAAAATACAGAGTATTGTACCTATTTCTCTCTTTTTTATTAACAGTAATACAAATCAGTTGGATTAGCAGGATAATGAATACAAAATGGCTAAAATACATTTTTATGAAGAAGAAATGTTTGCGCAACATTTGAGAGCAAAGCTTTTCTTGATCTACAGAAGAAAAGTAGAACTTACACTGTGTAGCACAACATACATACTTTAAAAAGGCAATTTCTTTTTAATCCTTCCTGTCATTAGTATCACTTCATTATGGTAAACATAGTTCTTGGGGCTCCACTGAAAGGGACATTCACTTTCCTTTTTCATCCCAAAATTAACTCCTGTTATTCCTGTGCAGTCTGAAGATTACAGTGGAAGTGCTATTAGAATGAACCATAGGCCTGAACCTTGATTTAAAAGCCCAGACAAACTATGTAACAGAATCAAGTCCCATATGTCAATTGCTATTATAAAACCACTTTCCTCACCACTTTAATGTGTTGGATAGCCATTCATGGGGGGTAGGAGGAAGTTAGGCATTGTAAAATAATTCTGTTGGCTCTTCTCAAAACCACTAACTCATAATTTTGTTTAAACTTTCTTTTTAAAATGGATTTAACATGATGGTGTGTTGTGTAGTTTGGTATTACATGGAATTACCCTCTATTACATGTGAAAGAAGATTCATGCTTTGCAATTTTAATACCCAAGGTTATTTTAATTTGATTCTATTCTAAAATGCATAGCAAACAACTTTACAGGGTAGAAGGGAACTTTTATTGGCTGCTATTGAAGTCATATCAACATATAATGCCCAGTAAATATGTAGGTGTGCTTCTTCCCACGGACTCAAACAAACCTCATGTGAATTTGTCCAGGGTGCTCTCAGATGTTAGATTAACATATCCAATATATATCCATCCACAGAACAAGTATGTAATGGATAGCAACAGTGAAAGCTTCTCTCCACTTTGTTTTATCAATGTATCAACCTGACCTGGAGAGATCCCCTCCAAGGATGAGAGGTCAGGTCAGTTTCCATACACATTTAATCCTTGGCACCTTTCAGAGACAGGATCCAAGGGTGCTGGTAGGTTGCCCTGTGGATAACTGTCTACACAGACTAGAAATGAAACCTCTGACGTGGTAGACAGCCTTCAGAGTGTAACCACACTCTCTACTGAAGTGGACTATATTGGGACCATCAGCAAAGGAAAGATTGTGTATCCCCATTCCCATGCCATCCAGTTACCCCCCAATTTTAATATTTAAAATCACATTTTGCAATAGTAATATATTCAAGTTCTTCTGGCATTCTTCTCCTACATGACTATCAGGCTCCCATCGATTTCACAAATACTTGTTCTATGCATCCATATTTTAAGGAGTGCAGATAATCATTGGAAAGCTCTGCCATTCTAATCTGATGGGAGAGTTTTTTCCTGTGATCCCAACCCTGCTTTAACCTGACCTTCAAAACCTGCAGGTGTATAACCTTCAATTGCTTTAATTCACACGGGTAGGAGGATATAATTGTTTGCTAGCCTACCAAGTTCTCTTCACTTTCCACACTTGAATTATGATTGCTCATCTAAACTTGGAACAGTTCAGAAATTAAAGTTGCCTTCAGCCCCTTCTTAAAGCCCCATGACAAGAAGCCATATTTCTTTCCTCCACCCCTTAATTACTACTGAAGTCTTAACAATCCTCTGTAGAGCTAATGTACCTCCAGCCAAGCAGAACTGGAAATCACTTGTGGCCACTCTGGAACTCCCTCTGCTTGGGAAGACAGAGAACAGCTGAAGTGTAAGGCATGTCCCAAGACAAGGGGTTGAATGCATCACCTCCATGCAACTTCCAGGCCAGGGGTACACTTTATTGCCTGGTATATTAAAATCAGACTAGTAGTTCTTCACACAAGTATTTCCAAAGAGAAATGTTGCTCACTTATGTAATTTTGTTTGAATCAAGGTAGCTACCTTGTTCACAGCCACTGAACTAAGAGACTTCCACGAAAGTTTTCTTTTCTGCATTTGTCATAACTGAAAGCTAAAACTGAAAAGCTGCCGTATCAAGTTCTTAAGTGACTTTTTGGTTTTGGAAAAGAGAGAACACACTGAAAGCTCTAACAGAATGTGCTCTTAAGCCTTCTGCTCCACTGATGCAAATGCTGTGATGTTTAGAAAAAAGTGTTAATGAGTAAAGAACATAAACCTGCTAAGCATCCTCCTCAGAAGCAAGTTTAACTCAAAAGGACAAAATCATTTCTTACTACTGTTGAGAGTCACCGTCCTCATTCTACGTTACGAATAAGTGCTGCTCTCTCTCCAGTAAGTCTGATGGGGGATTACAACACACTGGTATGCCTCGTGCAAGAACAACTCATCCATTTTGTTTTTAAAAGTCTCTCTTATCAAATACTGCAAAATTTCTAAAAAGATTAATGGGATCTTTGGGTATTAGCTCAACATACATACTCGCTTCTACATCAGTTCTAAGTGAGCTGCCTGTTTGAGACCCTTGCCGAGTGCACTCTGATTTGTGAGCAACTTGAATCACTTTCTAATTAAATCTTACACTCCAGTAAACCTTGATTTAGGCATATTTTATGTGCTTGTTTCTCCTCTCAATGCTATTAAAGAATACCAGAGGTCAGCATGATAGCTGCACTTAGACTTGTAAGAATGTAAGATTTTAAAGTGAGGTTAGGAAGAGAGATTTGGACCAAAAATACATATGTTACTTAAACAACTTACCAATACCTGTGTTCCCATCAATCTTTCTAAAACTCCAGTGAGAACAGTTTCTTCCAAGAATGAAGATTTACATGCTATATTTTCAGTACAAACACTGAAGCATTGTGCTTACCCAGGAGAATTTGAAAGGGACTTGTATAGAGAGACTATAAACAGAAGTAAAACTGACTAGACTATATTCATTTTTCAGATCAAGAAATGCAAAGAGTGGACAGTCAATGAAAAAGTCAGACTATTAAAAATGAAAAGTTTAAGCATTTAACACACTATGAGTGACACTGTAAAGAAACGTGTTATAACATCTCACCCAATTGCATCCCTTTAAGTTATATAACATCTAACTACACCCAGTGCTCTTGCACAGGGTTTAGATAAAAAAATAACAACCTTGTTTACAGATATTTTAAGAGCCAAATGGCTCCTACATTTTCATGTTTCTATGCTCTATAATCAAGCTAGCTTTGTAGTGCCATTCTGACCCTTATTGTCCAGTTCTAAAGGCTAACATTTTCAAACTTTTATGGGTAGAAAAAATGGCCTGCCTAGAACTATACAGGAATTTAACCTAACAATAAAACAGATTACAGCACCCTTGATTTAATACATGATTCTCCCATGCCGATATGTCGCTTGACAAATAGTAAAATCAAGATGTGGATGACAATGAATTAATGGGAAAGGAAACGCAGAACTCCATACAAGACCTCAGTCTCATAAGGGTGCATATTTATTTTCCACTGCATATTTATTTTCCTTTTCAAATCTCCAAGTGGAATGCACAAGAGCAGCAATCTAGCACATCTGATAAGAAGAATAGGTTTCAGTAATCCTAGATGTTAGCTATGTTCAGGCTTGGAAGAATTAGATTTTTATTGGTAAGTGTTGATGTCACGACACAAGCACAAACAAATGAAAAAATATTTCCATTGATGATCATCAAAATTTACAGAGAGGCAGACAAAGAAAAATGCTGCTTGAGAACTTATCAGAATGTGACAAAGATATTTATTTTGTAAATTTTAACATGTGATGTTGACAATTTGTGTCTGGTTAAAAAACTAACTTTTTTGAATCTCAGTGTCACTAAATAATTAGTGCCTGACCTGCTCCCCATAAATTCCAGCAACTGTGAACATTTAAAATAGATAATAAAAAATGCTTAAAAATAATCGATGTCAAAATTATAAAAAAAGAATCAAATTCTGCCAAGCCTAGATACTTTATTAAATTTTGAATTAAGCCCTTCCTGCCTCTGCACTTCTCCCACTCATTTAAAGATTGAGCTAACGATACTAGTTTGTTTAGTGCTTAGATACCCTTCACTACACTGCTCCTTTCCACATCTTATTCCTTTCTCATTGTAGCTGTATATGAAGTCACAAATCAGATGACAAGTTGAAAAATGATTAGTTTTCAGATAATATATTTGTCTACTTTTTTAAAATTCAAACAGGAGTTTTTCTAGGATTCATTGGGAAACTGTACAAAATGTATTCCAGAAGCAGGATAATTATAAAGGTTGACAATCTCTGCTACAGCAACAAGATGGAAATACATATTTTTGGCAACAGAACTTGATTGACACCATTAAGTTGCAAAAGGTATTTAAGTGAAATACGTCTGACACAGAGACAAGAACTGCTAAATATGTTTCGCATATATTTCCCCTATTTCTATTCTAATGTAGCTGATCATTTAGGACTAACTTCAACAACTGCAGCTTTGACAGCGAAACTCAGAAAAAATGTCTTCATATTTTAGATAAATGTGCAGAAGAACAGTACAGTAAAAATTAACGGCAAGTAACATAATATAGGACAGTTGCCTAACTTCATTTCAGCTTTGTTTCTGACATTTAGCAACTTACTTATTAGCCAAGTAACTGTGTCAAATTGCGAGGTAGCACAAAAGCCTCACACTGGTTCCACTTGCATAGTTTTGTGATCGGTGGCCTATGTCCTTTCCCAAAAAGAAAAAAAAAGTTTCTCTTAAACAAAACAGAAAGCAGAGATGCAGTAGTTTTCACATCTCCATGACATGAATACATGTATTACAATGTAACAAAATAGACAATCTGCACTTTAAACAGTTAAGATAATGATTTTGAGGAAAAGGGGAGTAAAGAGCAGATGAAATAGAAGCGACTGTATGAGTCTAGCCTCAATACAGAATGCTACAAATTTTGGGGTTTGTTTTTTTAAATCAGTGCCAATTTGTTTCCTTTCTAAAAAAAATAAACACTATTGTTTTAGGTCACTTACCCACCCAACAAATAATTGCTTTTTGTTTTGTTCTGTTTAAAAAAAAAAAAAAAAACTTGAGAGGAAACGAGCCAATTGGGAAGACAACTAACCAGTATTTAAATACTAAATGTTGCATTACCAAACAAAGTCTGATTTCAGTCAGGCTCGATTCATGAATGCTGCATTGACTCATAATCAAACAGACATAGCTAATTTGCTTTTGAATGACAACTCCCAAATCTTCAAATGTTGGTATTCAAGTAGACTTCTGATAGTCTGAAAAAATATCAACAGCCACTTAAAGACTGTGAGAACCTCAAAGTCTTGCCAGGTATTGGTTTGTCTATAATTATTATTAATACAAAAATGACAAAGTCAGCGAGTGCACAGACACTGAAAAATGTGGCTGAACTTAAAAAGACAGCCAGAGATGTTTGGTGAGGCTAATACAGGTTGGGGGAGGGGGAGATCAGATCTGAAAAGACATCAAGAAGCTACTTGACATGACATGGAATTATTTCCTGCAATCAGACAAATAAAATGCCCAAAGAACCATATTTGCTGGTAAAATTCTAGCTTTGAAAGTTGCTGGCAAGGTGAGCCCATTTCAGTGTACATAGGCTCAAATTTCTGTTGACTAATGGTTCACAAATTAATTTTTTTCATTTTAAAAAGGCGGTAAGTGAATAAAAATAGCATAGGGAGTCAATACAAACTTCCTTTCATGAATCCAGCCCTATATCCTTAGTAGTAAATCTTATTCGTTCCATCTGTAGATATTTATAGGTCCTAAGGATCACAGTAAACAACATCTTTCTTTAAAACTTTTCTTGCTCTTGCCACTTTTCTTCCCGTTCTTGTCTTTGTTTTCTGACATTTTCTTTGCTCTGATTTCCCTCATTAGATCAAAGAATACCTGGAAAGTTAAACATATGGGAGATTAAAACAACAGTTCAGCCAGCAGAAAATAAATTGGTATATTGATGCATAAACTAGAGTATTTGGCAAACAAAAATGTAACACAAGAACAAAGCACCTAATAAAATAAAAAATGAGTAGTCTAAACATAGATCCCAATGCTACAAATTCACCACCTGTGTTTATGCAGTACATGAATCAGGGGAAGGGAGAAGGACTTACCTAGCTACTAAGTCATTCGGCAGCCTGTTTCAAAATGATAAAAGCCTTTTTTAATGAGTTTCACTATTAATTGTAGCAAAGCAATATGCAGTGGCATGCACAGTTTTTATAGGGATCTATGAGATTTATACTAATCACAGGAGAATGTTTACAATTAACTCATTAAAAAATGAAACCAGGAGACAATAAAAGCCTTGGTATAGCTCCTTCAACACATTAATGAATTAATACAACATCACCAGGAAATATTAACCTTATTTTATGGAGGGAAGAACTTAGGTGCAGAGGATTTAAGTGAACAAGCAAAGGTCACATGGTCAAGTAGAATCCACTTCTCCCAACCCCTAAACCAGTGGTTCCCAAACTGGGGTTTATGAAATGTTACAGGGGGTTCTCGGGAAAAAATTCCCTAATGGTGGACAGAGCTGTCCCTAGGGACACTGGGCAGCAAGGGACCAGAAGCCCGGAGCCCCTGGACTTCCAAGAGCTAAGCAGATCAAAGCAAGCATATCCATCACACTGAGGAGATTTAAACTTCAAAACTCCTTATAAGAAATGGAACGGGAGGTGGATATTTTTTGCTGTTTTTACAATGAAATAGGCAGCTAGTATTGTTTTTAAAGTTATTATGAAAAATAAGTTTAAGTTCTGTTGTAACGCGTGTTGTTTGCCTGGACTGCTCAAGACCTGAACTCTTTGAGTTGGCTTCTTAAATGCCTTCATGCTGTTCCACATCTGATACTCCTTGATGAAACATAGAAGCCTTGTCTTATAACAGGTTTATTCAAAGTGATACAAGCTACGAAAGTGAGATCTTGGAAAAGTGTTGCCGTTTTCATAATGTAATAAAAATACTGTAATGATAAATAATAATTAATAATAGTGTGTAATAAGTATGTCATAAAAACAAATTTTATATTCCCCAGATCACTGCTTTTATAATTTATACTCAGGTAAAGAAGAAAATCCCTGGAAATATTCATTTTTAGGAGGGGGTTCACGAGACTTGACATTTTAGTGAAAGGTGTTCACAGGTTGTTAAAGTTTGGGAACCACTGCCCTAAGCCCATATGGTATCTGGAAAAAAACCTCTTTCCTCAACTAAAAATCAGAACACAGAAGGGAAAAAACAACAACATTTTAAAAGACTGCCAGGGTCAAACTTGTTTTTTCCCCCTACACTGTGTACTAAAAATTCTAGACACAAGAATATGATTTTTAATAAAGTATAATTTTACTCAATTTCAATGTTTAGATGGACAATAAAAATACCAGCTGAACTGTTAAAACCTGGTCTATGACTAGTCTATAGTTTATAGCTAGGAAAATGGAATTCTCAGGATTACAGAAGTCTATTGGAATAATCCTTTTAATCCTTCAGAGTTAAGATTTGTGTGACAGCTAGCTCTTGCAGTTCCCCAAGAAGCAGATATTTTATTGGATTTAATAGACAAGGAACAAAGTAATTGAGACACAGCAAAAACAAGGCCTTCAGATACTGCATTTGGAAAGCACAAGTATAAGGTCATCCCTTAAAAAAAGAAGAAAATGCTTCACACTGCTTCAGACAAGGAGATGTAAAATAAGACCTACTGATTCTTAACTTGCACATGTGTTGCCGCTGACACATTTCAAAGATGTTCTTTATGTGGCAAATATAAAACTGTTTAAATTTAAGCCACTGCCGCTGCAGGAGTGCCCCTAATTTGAATGGATTTGGGTTGTCTGCACAGACATCAGTTTCCATGTAGAGAGAGTATAGTAACAATAGAGTGTAGTAACAAGTAATATGGCCAATACATGCCTATTTTCAGGCTATACAAATGCTGAAAGTTAAGACTTAAAAATCAAGATCCAGGGTGAATTTACAAGGCAAGTGCAGTGTGCTAGGCACTTTCCAAACAGATGAGTCTCTGACCCAAACCACTTAAAATCTGCTATATTAACTCTCTCATTTTACAGATTAGAAAACTGAAGACACACAGGTCATGCTGCAAGTCAGAGCTGGTCTTAGAATCCAGATCTCTTGGCTTGCTTTCCCATGCTCTAACTGTGCTGCTGCCTTGATAACTAGACCACTGTCAAACCAAAGTAGGAAGATATGGATTATTTTAGCTTGCTCATCAAGAAACCTGACAACATTTCCTAGTGAGTGTATATGTATTTGGATGGGAATGTTAATTTAGTCTAAAAAGCTGCAGTACAGACATTGCCACAGTGAATATGCCTCATGATTTATCTGGACTTTCTAACAGACTGAACAGGAAACACTTTACTGAGCATAAAAGTCAAAACTAGCCCTCAGATATAGTGAAGCTTCAAAACGTTCACCCCAAGTCATCTTCTGTGGATGTGTAAGAGGGTGTATTTTCATATTCTCCACAGAAAAAGGAAGAGAACCCTGATATCTAAGACACTTCAGGAAGCACATATGTATGTCCACTTGCTAGAAGGGTTATGAGAATCCATCTGTTCAGAAACTGAAAAGCAATTTCAATCCAAAAACGCGACAAGTGACATCAAGCTGGAGAATACAGAGTCTTAGGAAAGGCAGGTATGGAGGGCATGGGGAATCACGTTACAAGATAGGTATGCAGTAAGAAAATGTATATTTTTCAGAAACTGCAGATAGTCTCAGTGATCAGAAAGTAAAGAACTGAGAGTTTGAAAGTGTTCTGGCAGATATTTAACAAAATATAAGCTGCATCACATGTGAGTTGAGGAGACAAAAGAGGGAAGAACCAAACTTCAGAAGTGCTGAAATTATCCTCATTTTAATTGTTTTATGATGGGCTGAACTACCGTTAGTATACATCATTACTAAGCATTTCAAGCTATAATTTAAATGAAACCCTGCACTTCAGTGAATTCTCAGAGCTAATAAATCTACTATACTTCAAACCATCATCTGAAAATTTGCCATTGTATAAGGGCTCACCACACTTGTATCTATATAAAGTAAGTTAATGGGATTTTCTTGACATGTTACATAGACAGCAACAAAAACCAAATGTTTGCTTTAATTTGCAAGGTATTCATTAACTGAAACATTCAAACATTACAAGTGTAGACTATGGTAAGAGGAACAAAAACCCAACCATGAACTGTGCCTGTCCCAGAAAGTAGTAAGAATTAGTCAGTCATTCTCAGTACTGAAGGACTGCGATTCTACTACTGTAAAAATGTAAGCTAGTTGCCTTACCTTATCTACATTTGCTCTAGTTTTGGCAGAAGTTTCTACATACTGCACACCCCACTCCTCTGCTTTACTTCTGGCCTCCTCCACAGGCACCTGCCTCCGCTCTTCCAGGTCAGATTTATTTCCCACCACAAGCAACGGGATTTTGTCCTCTTCAGCCTTCACACGCAGGATCTGTTCCCTAATTCATCAGATATTAAAAACAGAACAGCTGAGTTAGCTTCCTGAGAGCATCAAAAATAAAGCACTTGACACCAGGAATAAGCAAGCAGCCTTCACACTGTGCCAAGGAGTATCATATTGTACTTCGAAAAAGCCATTTCAGGATGGCCTCATGCCATCACTAATGGGTAAACGATTCCAAATTTAGAGTGGTAACATTGCAAGCTCAGAGCCGGTACTGCCCAATGAAGATAGGAACCCAAATTGTAAGTTACAGGAAATGGAGGTAGGTTACTTGTAACTGGAATTTCTTTCAGATATGTGATCCCAATGTGTATTCCATATGCGGGATATGCATGTGCACTCCATGACTGAGACTGGAAATTCTTGCAAGTATTGTCTGTTTGTCCGTGCCTGTGCCCTGGATTGTCTTCTGCTCAGTACCAAGGGTGTAAGGGGAGATGCAGATTGACCGCATCTCTACTTCCTTCTCTACCACAAATCCAGTCATGAGGCAAACCAGAGGGGAAGGTGGTCGGGTAGCAGAATTCAGATAGGGACAACACATCTCAAAGAATCTTGTTACAGATAAGTAACTTCCATTACTACTTTGAGTTCTAGTCCCTGTGTGCATTCCACATATGGGTGAATGTCAAGCAGTGATCAAATGGGGGTGGGGCGGGGGGATTTGAGGATGCAGGTGGTATAGATCTCGAACACTGCAATTCCAAAGGCTGTGTTGACAGAAGAGACTTGGACTGAAGCATAGCGCTTCATGAAAATACAGATAGTGCTCCAGGTTGCCATCTTACAAAGTGTCCAGCATAGGCACTTCCTGAAGAGATGCTACTGAGGTTGCCAGTGCTCTAGCAGAATGGGCCCTCACCCCATCCGGGGGAGGGAAATACACTAACGGATAGCAAAGGAGTATATAGCCAAGCATCCACTTAGAGAGGCTGAGCACATATTGCTTGTCCCCTTGCTTGCTCCACTATAGCGACAAATAGTCTGGGTGATTTTCTAAATGGTTTCATTCTTAGATGAGCATTGCCATTCTACCTTCAGACGTCAACAGAGTGTAGTTTCCTCTTCTTGCTGGGGGCAGGAGACTCCGGAAAGAACCTGGAGTGAATAAGTGCACAGTAAGTGAATTGATTGGCTTATGTAGAACGTGGAAGATACCTCTGCGATGAACTTTGGGTCGAGTGAAGGGATACCTTCTCTTTATGAAATGTAGCATATAGTGAGTCTGCCACAAAGGCTTTTCCTTCACCCACCTTCCTGGCCAACGTAACGGCAACCAGGAAGATGGCCTTCATGGACAAATGAGACATTGAGCACATGGCGAATGGTTCAAAAGGTGGCCCCGTAATATTGAAAATATGAGGATTAAGGTCTCACTGTGGTGTTTACTTTGCTACTAGTGGGAAGGTCCTAGTCAGACCACTTACAAAACTGTTTGTTACTGGGTGAACAGCAGAATAGCCATCTACCAGAAGGTGGAACACACTGATTGCTGCTAGGTGGCCCTACAGAGAGCTACTAGAAAGACGATATGTCTTGAGAGTCAGGAGGTAAGTCTAAGGTAGCAGGAATACCTGCTAGTCCTGATAAATGAGGCGCCCAGGCAGAGAAATGCCTCCATTTGACTAGTTAATATTTTCTGATAGAATCTTTCCTGCTGTGATTAAGAATAGTTTGAATGGCCTCTGAACATGAACGCTCTAGGTCTGACACCCATCCAAATACCCAGGCATGAGGTGAAGCGAGTCCAGGTTGGGATGTGTGATCCTGCCAGCCTCCTAAATTAGCAGTTCTGGGAAGGACCGAATGCTGACAGGCTGCTGGGTTGAAATTTGTAGGAGGGTCCAGAAACCAGAATTGTCTGGGCTAATTGAGTCAGATGAGAATGACTTGAGTTTTGTTTTGACAAATCTTCTATAGAATCTAGGGTAATAGTGGGATTGGAGGGAAGGCGTATCTCATGTGGCCTGTCCAGAACAGGAGAAGGGCATCGCTCCTGGAGTCCAGACCTTGAACTGCTCTGGTACAACATACATTGAGCTTCTTGTTTTTCTGGGAGGCGAACAGCTCCCAAGATGGTGTTCCCAACTGAGGGAAAATGCTGCCCAGCACTGAATTGTGTAAATCCCACCCATGATTGCTGGAAAAGTGTTTGAGCACCTGTGAGTTCTGAGCACCAGGTAGGTACATTACAGTGATTTCGGATACACCAATTCCATAAGTTGACCACCCCATGTACAGTGGGAGGAGCCTTGCCCCACCCTGTTTGTTTATATAGAAGACAGTCGTTATCTACATTATCCAAACATTAGAGAGAGAAGGTGGGTGAGAAGATCCTCCTCCTTCCAGCAGTATCCTCTTCTGGGGTTAGAACATTCCTCAGAAGAACTGGGTCTGAAAGTAAAGGAGACTGTGGGTCTGGGAAAGGGAAGTTATCCTTTGGGGTAGTATATGTCTCAGTCTGTCCCAGATTATGAGGGGTCCCGGTTATTGGTTATGCCAGATTCTGTGCCACAATAACTTAGTTGTTGGCAGATCCTTGCAGATCCTTATGGGGCCAGGTCAGTATCATTAGAGAGTGTCCTTCCTGGAGCTTTTGGCTGGCAATGGTGGATGCTGATCCTTTGCCTTGCTAGAAATCCTAGTCAGCACTGGTGTTAGTATGGGGGCCAGAACTGTTGGAGCTTTGCTCCTACATGCTCTCTGCTTTCTTTCTGTGGTCAGGAGGGTTAGACAGACCTAAGTCCTTGGAGCTTGTATGTGAAGACTCACCCAACTTGGACGGCATCAGAGGGGGAAACCTTCTCTTGGAAGCAGACTTAAAGGGGAATCAGTTTGTGTGTCTATGAGAGTGTTCCTTACTCTCAAGAGAAGCCAGAGGTAATGGGTCTTTGTCTCCTCTGGCCTCCGCTCCAGAGCTTGTGCTCACAGACATGCTGCTAGAGGATTGCGGCCAGTATACAAGAGGGTCTCCCGGCTTTCTCCATGATGTATTTTCTTAGTCAGAGCTCTCATCCCTCTTGGGTCTGGGGTGAGAAGGAGTGACAAATATTGCACTTTGCAGGGATATGCACCCCCCAAGGCAGTAAAGGCAGCACTGGTGTCATTGTTGACTGAGAAGGAGTGAGGACAGGAGATGCAGTGTTTAAATCCTGGGATTCTAGGCAGTCATTGTGGACAGAGATGGTCCCTGGGGTGGAGAAACTAAGCTAACTCTGCAGATGCTATAAAAACACTATGAAACACTAAAACTATATACAATTATATTTACAGAGATGAAAACAATACATGGATAACTCCAGACACAGAGGATTCCGACTCAGCACATGCGATGGCAAGAAGGAACTGGAGAGGCAGTCAGTCCGCACCTCCTTACATACGCTCGGTAATGAGCACAAGGAGATCCAGAGCACAGGAGTGGACCAATGGACACTATTTGCAAGAATTCCCAGGCTCAAGTTTCATGGTGCACATGTGTACCCCCACATGTGGAATATGCATAGGAAGCAACACTTGGAAAAGGTTACATTTTGCGGTGTGTGGCTGAACACCATATCTGTTTCTTCATCTGACTCCAGTAAAGGAGAGCTTCTATAGTGGAGTACAAATGGCTTTTGAAACAAAAGTCTTGTAGCATATATTTATGGTTGATAAATATTTATGGTGATAAACTCATTTGGTTGATAAATCTAAGGGCTCTTCCACACAGCAACTCAGTGCGCAGCAGACTAGAGCGCTGCAGATTTACACCCAAGCTTGCCGTGCACTGTCTCTGTACAGACAAGTGCTAAACAGAAAAGCTGTGATAGTATTAATAAGATCTGTCAGACATCTAATGTATATTTTTATTTATCCATACTCCACAAATGGAAAATAAATTAAACTTAAGAAAAAAACATACCATTTTACATTTCTATAGCACCTTCCTCTGGAGGATCTCAGAGGGCTTTATAAATAGGTACATATCCCTCTAAATTGGGGAGTAGTATCTCCATTTTACAGAAGGGAAAACAGAGGGAGGGAAAAGTTCAAAGATTTGTGGAAGGTCACATTGACACAAAGCAAAACCCTGCTCCCTGGCTCCAGGACCTGTGACCTAACCACAAAGATGTCCCTTCCTCCACAAGGAAGTATGTTTGCTTCTACTAAAAGACTGACTAGAGCACTTTAAGGCTCAATGAAATAAGTTGGGAAGGTTACAGTTCGATAACTGAAGGCATCTTTTATTACCCCTTCAAGTTGATTTACTTTAAGAAAAACAACCTTTTTAATCAATAAAAATAAGAGTTTAAGACAATAGCAAGCAGCATAATTTTCAAAGGTATTGTCTAAACATCGAGGAAGCTAGTGAAAGTTATGAGTTCCCGCCAAAACTAGGAAACCTTGTGTTAGCAGCATATGCTGGAGTCAACTTGTAGTTTCTTTATTCTTCTAAGAAATGAAGTGTACAGTTCTTTTTAGCTCATTTTTCATATCTTTTCATTATGTGATGAAGCAATATATAATGAACACCCACAACTGTGTTTTTTCATGCAATCAAATTAATACAATATCTCATCTATCAAGATTAGGCAGAGAAGCTAGTACAAGTAGCTGCTTGCAGTTTATTTCCCATTAATAGCTGATTGTATTTAACAGATGCTCCAATTAAGGTCACTTCAAGTGCACGTTATACAAAACTGAAAAATTATGCACTTGAACACAACCAGCTATTAGAATCACAAGATACTAACAGTTAGCTTTTCAGAGTCGCACAGGCAGGTAAAATGACAAAACAGCAAATATACATATTAACTATCAAAATCTGAATATCAGCAGGATTTCTAGCCTGACTTGAAATACAGCTATGATAAAGAATCTGATCACAGAAAATCTAATAATCATTTACATGAATTTTGTCATGTCAGTGCTTTTCTATACAATTTTCAAAAACTCAAAAGATTAAAGAAGTGGTTGTCAGTTTAAGATTTAAATTAGTGTTTTGTCCAATGAGAT